TCTTCAGTGTTTCTATGTACCACGAATCAGGAGATTTAAATCCCTAAAATCAACATTATTTCTCCCTTCTGTCCCCACAACTTCTTTCAACTGTATTTCCCACTGCAGCTTCAGTCTCAGAAATGTCCAGACATGCAGGCTTTCAACAACCAACCTGCCTATGAATTTAAAAAAATTAAGTGTAGTTTTTTCTTTTTTTCTCCCAAACAATCTTTAATCCAGGTAAAACTGCAAGCAATGGTTCCAAAACATCCAACAGAGAAATAATACTGACAATGTTTTCTCCTTTCACCCTTGAATTCATTTAACAGCTTTGAAACGGAAAAGCATCCTCTGGACTTCACAGGAAACCCAACAAGTGTACACATAACATACAGGCAGCATCCAGACCCAGGTGCAGTTATTTTGATTACACAAAACAGTCTCATTTATAGCTAGGACTTCCATGAAACCAAAATTAATCTGTAGTATTCAAGCAGTAGAAAACTATTGAACAGGAGCCACTCTTTCAAAACTAAACCAGTTTTACTCCAGGCAGGTATTCTCTCCACTGCTCATAGTGAACACAGTTTTAAAAACATCATTCTACATGCAAATGGCGCTATTCGAAAATTAGCAAACACACTCATGAATATGGCTCAAGCCAGTAAGCACAATTGCACAGAAAGTACAGACTGTAAAGCCACAATTACAGTTTGGCTGCCAAACTCACCGAGAAACTGGAAGTGACCTAACAGCTGTTCAAATAACCACAAAATATTAAAACACTCTTGTGAGAGATAGATTTCATTTTGAATAAGCCTATCCTCTCTCAAACAGACATTGGTTATTTGCCTATGACCACTCTATACAGACAGCTGTTTTCTCATCTGACTACCACACTGTATTCTCAGCTCCCCACGCAGCCCTCAATCAATCTACATTCTACCTGCAGATAATTCATTTTTGAAATGAGGAACGGTGTGGTAAGAAGTCCTGGTGCTGATATGGTCTCCGCTGTGTGAAGTTAAACACTGCTAGGTCAAAGTATCAGATAGCAGAAAAATGTTTAAGCATGAACTCAAAGTCTAAGCATCAGGTCCCTTATACCCAGAGCTCTGATTTCATATGAACATTAATTTTCATTACATAAAATTCAGACAGACGCTTTTTAAGTGCTGGAAATCTAAGGATTACACTAACAGGCAGAGAAAAGCCCAAGTCAAGTCAAATGAATGCTGGCTGTTAATAAATTTCCCAACACAAAAACTAACACGAAATGGTGACTTGGTAACACTTTTTAAATCGGACTGGAATTCTTTTCACACATACAGCAAGATTTATCTGACCCTAACACAGACATCTGCATCAGAAATGGTCATGTGAACTCATTTTAGAGTTAATGGAAAGCAATATATATTTCTGCAGCACAACAGGCCTCAACCTAAGTCAGAGCCCTAGAATAAACCATCTGATTCTTCCAAGTGACTACCAGGAAAAATGCAAACTATTAGTTCACAGGTACATTTACAAAATTAGATGAATCACACACCTTCCCACAGGCCTCTTTAAAATTATGAGCTCTATTTTGCTTAGTGAGGGTCGAAATGAAATATATACAATGTGACAATACCACCAAATTCAACTGAAATTGAAAGCTAAGCAAGCTGATTAAGAGATGCATTTATACCAGCACGGCATAAAGATTTTTTTTCTGTAACGGAAACCACAGAGGGAGCTTTTAAGCAAAACCCCTGTAAACGTGAACAACTTATAAATGTTTCACGTTTTGCTTAGAAGTATTCAAGTGCTGTAGGAGACATTTTGATTTACTGTCTTTCACTCTTCATTTTATTAAACACATTTTTTACACATAAAATACACCCTTGTCCGTACATCAATCACCTTTTCACATGGATTACTACCTGCACCTCTGATTTTCTCAGGAGACAAAGAGGCCTGTATTTGGTCAATTTCAGTAACATTTCAGTTTTTAAGCCCTACAGAATGGTTAGAGTAGAAGCTTAGGTATTACCTCAAATACTGCTCTAGGCTGTCTCTTCTGAAAATTTTATTGATTTGCCTCCTTTCAGCAATACACATTTACTGGCCAGACAATATTTATGTTAAATATTCGTAGCCTAAGCTCTCCAAACCCCAAAGAAATCAAAAGAAATCACTGCAAAGAAGCAATACTTATCCTCTAAAAGAATTAAATTAGGTCTGATTTTAAATATCTATTTCAAAGTACATGCAATGCCTCGCTGTACCAGGGAGTGCCATCCATCACAACTCTCATCCCAGACCGCTGACTCATTCAAGATCCTTTCCTAGAGGTTCAAAAAAAATATCAAGGCACTGATGCCAAGTTTTACTCCGTATGCCCTCCATATTTCCTCCTTAGCCATTTTTTATTATTTCATTAAAAGCCCTAAAAAAATGCATTGTACTGTACCGTTTTCCGAACTAAGAATATTGAAACAAGGTACTGTCCTACGTGTAGATAGCAATTTGAACATTCAAACTTGGTGCTTGGTAACCTGGAGCCAACTTGCGTTATAAAAGGGAGTACCAAACACAAGAGCGGAAGGAATTCTGCTGCAACAACTGCAGAGGGCTTTTCCCTGCACACAAAGGACACGGGTACATCCATACCTCGGCGCTACAGCCGCTCACGGCCGCGAGCTGCACCGTCCCTGAGTGCACTGCTGGAAGCTGCCCGCTGGACTAAGCGTGGCACGGGCCAACCAATCCTTCGTGCCCAACCAAGATTCCTTCCTTTCTTCTCTCCCTACTCGCTGCTAAAAAGAACTCGAGTCGATTTTTAATTGACAACCATTACACAAGCAGACCTCGAGCTCTTAGGGCCGCCAGTTGACTCATCTCTCGCACCTTAAGAACGTAGAGAAGGGTTTCGTTCTTGCCCCGCGTCTCCCAGACGAGAGCAGGAGACCGCCCGATTCCATTTTATCTGCCCTAAAGGCAACTCTCACCCTTGCACACAACCGCTTTAAACACTCGGGTTTCCTAGGGAACTTTTAAGGATACCACAGAATGGGTTACCCGGGACGATAGCCCGTATTAAGGAGCTGGGAAGCGGGATTACCCCTTTGTTTTATTCGCTTTTGCCTGTTCCCACTGGCGTTTTGCGGGTGATGGATGACAGGCCGGCCTCCCCGCCCTGCCCCCCTCGCCCTCCCCCGATGTCTGAGCAGCGGGAGGAGGTGCCGCCGCCTCGACCCACCGATAATGGCTGCGCAGAAGGGATCGACGGGGCCCCGCCGACTCCCGACCCCAGCCCGGTCACACCCCTGTCCCCCCCAGCGTTTCCGCAGCTCGACTCGCCCCTGCGGCTCTCCTTGCCACATCCGAGCACCCGTGGAATAAAGAGGAAAAAAAAAAAAAAAAAAAAAAAAGGAAAAAAAAAAAAAAGCCGACCTTCTCCTTTCCTAGGATCGAGATTCCCCCCAACAACACCCCCACGCCGCTCGGGTCCCTTTCTCCAGTCTCATCTCACCCCCCCGCCTTCACCGACCCCTTTCCTATGGCCACCCGCCCGCATCGGCTCAACCCGCCCCCCCTTCTTCCTCCCCGTCCCTCCTCCTCCTCCCCCTCCTCTACTGCTGCAAACGGCCATTTCTATTGTGTCTCTCGGTGCCAAGCCGAGCAGGGATCTCCCCGGCCTCTGCCAGCCGCACAGCCCGGCAGAAAATGGCTGGAGGGGGACGCCAGACCCACCCAACCCCCCCCTTCCTCCTCCCCGCTTCCCGGCCGCCTTCCCGGCCCCCTCCCTGCCGAAATCCCCCCAAAGAAAAAAAAAAAAAAAAAAAAAAAAAAAAAAAAAAAAAAAAAGCCGGCCTTCTCCTTTCCTGGGATCGAGATTCCTCCCAACAACACCCCCACGCCGCTCGGGTCCCTTTCTCCAGTCTCATCTCACCCCCCCGCCTTCACCGACCCCTTTCCTATGGCCACCCGCCCGCATCGGCTCAACCCGCCCCCCCTTCTTCCTCCCCGTCCCTCCTCCTCCTCCCCCTCCTCTACTGCTGCAAACGGCCATTTCTATTGTGTCTCTCGGTGCCAAGCCGAGCAGGGATCTCCCCGGCCTCTGCCAGCCGCACAGCCCGGCAGAAAATGGCTGGAGGGGGACGCCAGACCCACCCAACCCCCCCCTTCCTCCTCCCCGCTTCCCGGCCGCCTTCCCGGCCCCCTCCCTGCCGAAATCCCCCCGGGGGGGCTGCCGGGCGCAAGGAGCGCCGCGTCCCTCACCTGTGGTGAGCCGGGAGGACACCTCTCCGAAGGGCGAGGGCTCCATGCGCAGGTATTTCTGCGGGGAGGAGGCAGCGGCGGCGAAGGAGGAGGAGGCGGCTGAGGCCGGGGCTGACAATGGCGCACATCGCCTTCGCTTCGGGGACGCCGGGCTCAAGAGAGGGTCGAAATCCAGAGTCCTTTTCAAAGTGGCGCCGCAAGCCATGGCGCGGAGCGGCCAAGGGGGCTCGGAGCGAGGGGCAGCGGTGGAGACAGCAGCAGCCGGCCCTGCCCAGAGGCGTCTTCCCCGCTGTCTGGAGTGGGCTGGGGGGGAGGGAAGGGAAAGGAGGGGGCGGCTGCGTCAGGGCCGCCTCCGCCGCCTCCCCGCCGGCCTCTCTCTAGGGAGCGGCCCCGGCAGCGGCAACAGCAACCCCGGTTCAGTCCAGCTGGATCTCCGCTCTCCTCGCCCGCTCCGCCCTGCCCGGCCGGGACAAATTCCGCCCGCGGCCGGTGGCAGGACACGAGCAGTGCCGAGAGACGCGGTGCCGGTCCCAGGTGCGCGGTGCGGGACGGCCGATGCGGGGCGATGGCGATGGCAGGGCCCGGGCGGCGGCGATGGCGGCGGCGATGGCGCTCCCGGCCGTAACCCCCGCACCAGCAATATGGCGTCAACAACAACGCCGCCGGTTCAAACGCCAGCCCCCCCCGCCGCAGAGGCTCACGGGACTCGTGGTTTCCCCGCCCCGGCCCACGCCACTCAAAGGCAGGATGGCCTCCGGGGAGCTGGGACTACAGCTCCCGGCGTGCACCGCGCCGGCAGGGTAGGCTTCCGGGTTTTGGTTTAAATCCCCCCTGGGAGGGTGCGGGCTGGGGTGGGACTCTGGGGAAGGGCTGGCAGTTCCCCTTGGGACGCGGGGACACAAAAGGGGGGATGGTCCTGTCCTGCCTCCTGTTAGCGCAGGTGTCGAGCGGGCCTGGCGGCGGATGTACGTCCGCGTGGCGCTTGTCTGCATATGAAATCGAGGGCAAAGTGCGTTTAGTGGCCTCCATGGTGAGGGCAGAGCAGGGAGCGTGCGGGAGTCCGAGGTGACAGCTAAGGACACGCACCGAAAGGCCTCACGATGTCGGGATCCATGTCACGGCGTCACCGAGTGCTTTCCTTGCAGTTGCATAAAGCACATTGTTGCTTAAGGAGGGTGGTGAGGGAAGAGGCTCAAAGAGCTATAAAGCTGCTGCTGGGAAGAGCTTAGCTCTTTCCTGTGCAGCTTCCTGATTGAAACAAACTGTGCTACAGGTCACCGCAGTGGGAAAGCCAACAGAGCTTTATAACCCCCAAAATATATGTAACTTCTATGGTTTCTGTATCTCATTTTGGTAATTTAACCATAAACACAAAGACATTGTCTTTGAAAGACAAAATTATGAGTATGCTATCATAAAGTTTTAACGCTTTGGTGATTTTTTATTGTGTTCTGAAGTGTAAGCTAGGCTTTCTCTAATGGCATTTAAAAAAGCCAAGAACCTTAGCATCCTTTGGAAGCAGGATTTGCTGTACATGTTTGGTGTGTGGCACGTATTGTTAATTAAGCCAGTCAGTCAAAACACCAGTCTGATTGTGCTGGCACTGTGGTTGTGCTGCTCTTGGGGTAGCTGAGCTTTCAGGGGTGGGGTGACCTAGCAGAGCCTTCCTTCACAACAAATTATTTGTTTTCTGAGACAGATAACTTGTGACAGTGTTGGTTCAGTTAGGTGAAGTTTACCTTATGCTTGTCTGAGTCGCCTTGGCCTAAAATTAATACTGCAAAATTGCCAAATGAAACCTCTGCTGTGAGCTGTTCCTCTGAAGAGGAAGTGCTTGGAGTGTTTCCTTGGAAATAAGGATGCTGACAAGCCTTTCTAAAACTAAGACAAGTTCTGCTTCTCTGCAGCAAGACTCAGGAAATGTACTGATGTTATTACAGTGTTACAATTGTCCTACTATTAGTGTACTGGTATAACTACTTCTGTGGACACTCTTCTTTGGAATAATGCTGGCTGGTTTTCCATTCATTTAATTCTTCATTTCCCTAAGCATATAGCATTCCCTGTGTTTGGGCACTGGTGTTAAATATTCTTACCAAGCACTTAACCCAGCAAGACAGAGGCAAAATTGCTCTTGCAAGCTTTGAATTAAGGGTACCCCAAGTGTCTCTCCGTGTGTGTATGATGTACCTGTTTAGTTTGGAGTGCTCTGTGCCCTGCTTCTGCCCTCATTTGTATGCTGAGAAGTGCCTGTGTTTGGGTGTGGTAGTGGAAAAAAGAAAGCTAAGTCTCAGAGTAACCAGTACTTCCCCACTGAAATTATTATTTTGGATGTATATTCTACATTCAGCAGCAGAAGCAAGGATTTGGTGACATTAACCATGTGGCACTAGATCCTAAGCACCATTCAGGCACAATTTAAGTCAATTAAGAGAGTCTGAGGAATCAGGTGAGACTTCATCAAGATAAGCTACTAGAAAGTCAGCTTTTGCCAGCATAGGCAGCACTATAATTGTAAGCAATTGATTAGAACAGTGATTGTCCTAATCAACAGAGTTATTTGGCTTTTATCTGACCTTTAATTTGTTGAACTAAACTGAAGCAAGTCTGATTTAGGTCAAAATAAGAATTCACATAGCCCTCTGCAGCAAATTAAACCCAGACAAACCAACATAGCTTTGCATGTAGACAAGCCCTAAGGCAGCAAAATGTCCAACAGCAGTGACAAAGTGCTTGATGGTTGTCAGGGAACATGTGTTTTTACTTTCATTGTGGCAGGAAACACCATAGGGTCAAGGCTGCAAACCACTGTTTATATTGTTCGTTCTTCTACTTACTTATTATATAACCAATTTGCAGTGCCCCATTATGTGCTACATGGGGTGCCTTTAAAATTATATATTATAAGCATCTTTTAAAATAAATAGTACCCACAAATTTTATTAATACTGGGAGTGGGAGAGCTGATTCATAACTGGCATTGTGCTAGATTTTACTGAATATGTACTTCGAGCATAGCACCTGTTAAAAAGGCAAGTCCTGACTCAAGACAATATTTTGACCTCTGTACAGCCCTGATTGAGGTGGGAAAGTGACCCTTTCAGTGTATTGCTTTGGGATGGTGATGGAAATATCAATATTAGGCTTTGTGCATTCTCTTTTCTTCTTCTCCGTCCTTCATTTGCTCCTTTTTTTTTTTTTTTTTTTTTTTTGGTGTCTTCCTCTCAGTCTTTTTCTATACCATCTTAACTTTGCTTCCTATTCCTTTTTCTTGAGACATCCTATTAATTTGATGCAGGATCCACATCACAGGTCCTGTCTTTTCTTCTACACCATCTAACCATATTCTCCCCACTTCACCTGTGGCTCGTTTCTCATTAACCGGTCGTGCTTGCCAACACGGGACCACGGCTTGGCTGAACAGTTTCTAGGGCTCATTCATTTCACCACAAGTGAGCAAAATTCACTTTAAATGATGTCATGCCACTTGAATTTGGACATGGGTACTGAAGGTTTCTTACTTATGTATTAGGTATATGCTGTGGTTGCAGATTTTGTGGACAAAATGCAGTGGTGGTTATCTGCCATTGTGTCAGTGAAGTGTTTGTATGGTGCCAAGTGAGAAGGGATTACTTAAGTTGAAAAAAAAATGGAGGTTAGTACAGGAATTGTAAGGTGGAAAAAACAGCTGAAAGAAAACTGGAATAAATTTCTCAGCCTGTGTTGCTATATCGGAGCATAGATGGTTCTGGTCAAAGGGAAAGTCTGCATAGGAACAGGAATGGCAGGCAGAGGTCAGTGAAGTTCAGCTCTGCTTCTTTAGATGCTGACTTATGCTGATAAACTGTACCAAAAATTATGACCTGAACCTGCAGTATGCACTGACTTTCAATAGGACAAATCTGTTTCTTAGGCCTGAGCTACTAAGGTATTGCCAGCAGAAGTACAGAAGTATGTTTCACAATATAAAAGACATTCAGAACACCTATTTCCTCTAAAATACTGTATATACTTACATATATTCAGAAAAGATTAATTAAAACCAGAATCTATATAGGAAAAGGTAAACGAGCCGATTATATAAAAGGGGAAAAATAGCCCCAGGAAATTAAAATGTTATTTAAATGTAACTGCCCCTAGTAATTGTTGAATTCTATGATTTTTCCCTAAAAGCACAAGGAAAAAATAAGTTCAGGAGATCTATTGTAATGCTGAAGACTATGTTGTGATATAGAAACTGTCAGTTATCTCACCCAAACTGGAAATAAGAGGAATATTTATAGGTGTCAGAGGAATGAGTTTCCAGAACACTCTTCCAATAGCACCAGTATGGGTGAAAATAAACCCCAATCTGTAGTTGTGGGTTAGGTGGGCTTTAGGTAAGGCTTAGTATTTTTACAAAAGGGGATTCTGTGGTTTTGATGCGGGATTCTGTGGTTTTGATGTTTTCAGTGACAGCAGACCAGTAAGGATAACCCAGGAGGTTTTTTAATACAAAATGACAACAACAAAGTCAAAGCAGAATTAAACATTTTACAGGTGTGCTGGTTTTGGCTGGGATGGAGTTGATTTTCTTTTCGGTAGCTGATGTGGGATGAGTTTCGGATCTGTGACCAAAACAGTGTTGATAGTACAGGGATATTTTCTTTTTTCCTGGGCAGTGCTTGCAGAGCATCAAGGTCTTTTCTGCTTCTTATCCCACCAATGAGAATGCTGGGGGTGCTTAGGGAACTGGGAGAGGACATAACCAGGACAGCTGACCCCAACTGCTGAAAGGGGCATTCCACATCATATGGCATGATGCTCAGCATATAAAGCTGGGGAAGAAGTGGGGGGTGGAAATTCATAGTTGTGCTATTTGTCTTCCCAAGTCACTGTTGGGTGTGATGGGGCTCTGCTTTCCTGGGGATGTCTGAACAGCTGCCTGCCCACGGAAAGCAGTGAATGACTTCTTGCTTTGCATTGCTTGTGTGCACAGCTTTTGCTTTCCCTATTAAAGTGTCTTTATCTCAGAAAACTCTTATGAGTTTCCTCACTTTTACCTTTTCAATTCTCTCCCCCATCCCACCAGGGGAGTGGCTGTGTGGTGCTTAGTTGCTGGCTGGAGTTAAAATGTGACAACTTGAAAGGATATGAAGCAGGAATAACCCATTTGAGTCAGTTCACCTATATTCAGAATAATATATCGAAGCTATAAAAAGAAAATCACTGAAGTCACTGGTGTATATGCATGAATTGTGCTAACAGACCTGGATATGGAATAATTAGGAAGCACTGAGTAAAATTTTGCAGCTCTGAGTACTGCAATTAGCTCAATGATTTCAGAAAAGCATCAACTAGCAAAGCATGGATCAGTACTCTTTTCTATCTGTTGTTAGTCACAACCTTGTGTAGGATCACCAAAAAAAATCATGGTGTATAAGGAGGGCAGTGTCATAAGGTACTGGAAATGCTACTGCAACATAAAGATTGCCTTACATCACCATGTCCTGAATACCCTTACCCCCCACAATGTCAAACATTTTTGTACACAAACGTTTTACATTGTGCCCATCAGTGTTCCTCCTCCCTTTTACTATTGTTATGAATTCATATTTAAACTTCCCATATAATTTTCCCTGCCTGGATTTTGGACAAATACTGCACCATGTTAAACTCTGCTTTGTTATTGATCTTAAAAACAACCGGTACAGTGCTTTAGCAGAAAGGAAAACTGTACTTCTTATGAAAAGGTTTTTTTTTTTTTTTCCAAAATGTTCTCTTACATCTTTGTAAAAGAACTTTTCATAATTGGTTCTAAGGGTAAAGGATTGGTATGCATGGTATTGCATATTAATTGGAGTACAGAATTGAGTCAACTAAAAATATATAGAGCTGGAATGGTAAAAAAAATTAGAGGCCAAGTATTAATACTGAACATGTAAATTAAGAGCCATTGAAGTCAAATACGCTGAGCTGTGAACATCTCTCCACTTTTTCAGTGGACAGCAGCCTGGATCCTCTGTGAGCTTACACAGCTGTGTCAGGCTGAGATATGGTAGAGGTCAGTTTTTCTTCTGTGCCAGTATGTTAGTGAACAAGCCAGCATAGGACAGAGTGACTACTAAGCTATCTATAAACTATCTGCTATTGACTTCATCAGAACTAGGAGGAGGTGTGACACACTGTTCATTTTGTTCGCAACACATAAGAAATGGACAGGGACTTTGTTGCCTCCTTGGAAATTTTGTGTGGAAGCCAGCTGGAAATTTTGCTTTTATTAAGCTCAATTTTCTGCATCAAACAATGAAGAACTGAGGACTTGAGTTAAAACTCCTGTTTTTCCAGGTCGTTTTCTGAGCGTTCAACTCCTCTGTCACTATCTTGCCTGTCTTATCCATCCTTCTGTTCTTTTTAGATAGTACCTGGCTACGTTTTATTCTCAAAAACTTCTTTCTTCTCACTGCAGCTGACCTCCAGGATGCTCCTCGGTCTCCCAAGCGAGGTCCTATGTATGTGTGCTCTGCCATCTATACACACCTATGGCTTAACCTACTTCTATCCCTCTGATCAACCAGCCCCCACCCCCTACCCCATTCCCCTCTGCCAATCCTGTACAGTACTTCTCATTTAGCACACCTTTTCTATTCATAAAACAAAAGACAGCAGCCATCTTCTGCTGGCAAACCCACTCCTTGTCCTGTCACCACCAGCACAGCTAATTCTGTCATCCTTCAAGCTGATCTGCTCCTTTTTCCCTCTCGTATAAAAGTTAGTTTTAGGTCATGGTTGCTCTTCTGTGAAGTATTTCCAATGACCTGTTTCCCCACCTCAGACCTTGTTTCCAAAATTCTTCCCCAGACTTAGGTCACCTCTAGCCTGAAGATGCTCATAAATTACCAGCTTTCTAGAACTTTCTCCTAGGGAATCTTTAGTTTCTCCTTTCCACCCACAGTTCAGGTCTCTCTGTTCACCATTTCAGGAGACAAAATTTTTACTGCCCTCCTCACCCTTTTTCCTCACTAACCAGGAGCATCTCATCACCTTTGCACCCCTTCTTGAATGTTCCTAGGTTATTCATCCCTTCGGTTTCAGGCTTCACCTTTGGGGCCTGGTATTCTTCTGCTGATGCATTAATTTGGGGTTTATGTCAATCCCACACATTCTGGTCCAGTCCAGCTTTCCTCTAATAACTTCCTTCCCTTCTTCATTCCCTCCTCCATCTTTCCTCAGAGGACTTTTATTCGTGCTGCCCTTTTTTCTTTAAGCCTGGAACAACTGCACCCATCTTGTGAACCAATTCCACACTGCCTTCACTCAAATCTCCCTATAAAATGTACTTTTGCCATAACACCTATCCAGCTCAGATTCTTCTCCTGAAACATATCCTGTTCCTTTGTAATAAAAACAAATTCTGTTTCATAACAAAACAAAAAGAACCGAGCAAGAGACTGACTACACAACTAATTTTTGCCAGTTGCTTTCTGCCAAGAGCGACATGCTTGTTCTTATCCGACTCCTTTGGATCGTCCTCCCTGTGTGCCTCCTGTTTGTCCTTTTGTTTTCAGCTTTTGATTCCTTCCTGAGGGCTCCTGGCCTGATCCTGTGCTCACACTGGTGTGTTGTGAGGAGCAGCTCCGCTGCAGCAAACAGAGCTTTGCCAAGGCAAAATTTCTGGGGAAGGCGATCATCCCTTTGTTTTAATATTAGCTAATAAAGCCTGTGCACAGCTCCAGCACAGCACTCTGGTTTTAATTAATAAGAATTAGCATATACAGCCACATACACTCTTCTTTTTCCCTCAACTACTTTGATGAAAACCTCTTTGTATGTCTTCCTGGTTGCTCTGTGTATTGACATTAAAAAAACCCCAAACAAATAAAACCCCAAACCCAAAGTAGCATCAAACTCCCACGCACACAAAAGGCTTGGCTGCTGCTGGTGGCGGGGAGCGCTGGGAGCGGTCCCTTCCCTTCCCTTCCCTTCCCTTCCCTTCCCTCGGCCCCTGCTCCCCACTGCTGGGGAGCCGTCCAATTCCCAGCCCGTCGTCCCTTCCTCCCACTGCGGTGACTTCCCAGTCTTAATTGGAGCCTCTGGGCATTATTGTGTTATTATTATTTAATAAACAACCACATAAAACACTGACATTTAAATAAAAGTAAAGAAAGGAAAGCACTGACTCCTAGTCTGTTTTCTTTTCCTGTTGGCTGGGGTGGAAGCAGGAGCAGGTTTTCTCTACAATACCATGTTCACCAAACACGTGCTCACATTTAGTGTTATAGGAAAGAGAGCCCACTGTGGATGAGCAGGCCAGACCTACTGCAGCTGTAAATCCCCATCACAACATAAGGTGTAAATAGACAGTAATAAACGGAACATTCCTGAATAAGACACTGCTTTTCTTTCCTGAGCTACATCTTGCAAGGGTTTAGCCCCATTTTCTGCATTGTGACCCCCAGCATGTCCTTTTGAGTGGTTATCTGAAACTCACAGCCATAGGGATGTTACTAAAAATAATAAATCAAAAAGAGTTTTATTTTTGCATTTGATTACTTGAAGCAATCCAGTCCAGTGTGAGAGTTATCATGACAAAAGAAAATGTGGTATCCTTGAAGTGAACGCAGAGGAGCACAACTCGTCCAATAAGGTTTTGAAAGAAAAACAAAGAGCTGAAAGCCAGATCTGATTCCTTTAGAAACAAGTCTAGAATGAGACAGGATCCAAAGTGCTTAAAATACTTCGGTGACAAGCAACAAAGAAGCGTCTGTTACTAGACTTGATTGAATTAAGGAAAAGGAGAGAAAATCTTGAGAACTTTTAAAAAGTGGTTTTAATGTGTGGGCAGTATAAGGACAAAAATTCTCCCGGGCCACAGCTAGAGCCCTGAATCAGCATAGCTCCTTTTCTTGAAGAAAGTGAAAACTAGACAAGAACAAATACGCACACCCTTATTATCCTTTTTCATTGTGGATCAAAGAGGAGGAATTCAAAGGGCTGCCAGGTCTCCACTTTACTGCAGTGAGTCTAGAGTGTGGGCTCAGTTTATTTCCCTCGCATTAGGCAATGCTTCTCTATTACTCTAAGTGATCCAGTTGTTAAATGGACTTCTTGCGAGATCTGAATTCTATTTACTGGTTCATGTTTTTAAAGTACCCAGTAGGAATGAAACATTCCAGCTGTTTATAAAAATTATGTACATATGTGCTTTAATTCTAGGGAGTTCACCCCTCATTCTTCCCACCATTTCATTACACATTTGCTTTCCTGTATTATATATTAAAAGCTTAATGCAGTGGCTCACTTGCATTTACATATATGGACTGTAATAATTCTGTGATGTTGCTTGGAACTTCTGTATGAACATGTTGTATAGAGTCAACGTGGGCATGACAAACATATTGCAGATTTTTTGTAGATAAACACAGTCAGTGAATGCAAATATGAGTGAATTTGTGTGCAAGTTTTAATATCTAAGCAGAGCTAATAAGTGCATGACACCTGTAACCACAACTGCCAGTGCAAACAGGGAAACTAGTTTTAAGGTGTTTGCACTGTTTTAAAAGTGCTGGACTTTGAAATATTTCAGCTGTAATGGTTGAGAAATGTTCATCCTCCAGCAGGTATTTAGGTGTATGGACTCTGCTATTAGGAGTACTGAGTGTATTAGCATCTGATATACGAAAGTCCTTGTGAAAACAAGTCCCAGAATGGTGAGGGCTGCCTTATGAAGCAATCTGTGGCTTTTAAAGTCATTATGGAAATCTTACTGAGAAATGGATTAAAAAGTGCTGGTTGATGATCTTAGGGAGATGGGTGTTAGGCATGGAGATTTGTTTTGAAAGCAAAATAGGAGCTTATTGGAAGGGTGCTGTATTTCCAGGAGTGGCTGTATAGCCAGTAATAGCTCTGGTCTAAAAACAAGGAGCTTGCTTAGGAGAGGCGCTGCAGGGACATATAATGTAAGGAGGAAATGTAATGTGCTTGAATATGGGCTGTAGTAATTCTCTAGAGGGTGATGGAGTGACTGCTTTTTGTGAGAATACTGAGGCAAAATATATTAAATTGTTACCAAAGTTGTAGAGAAGTATGTTCTGTAAAGCTTTCTAGTGCATTTTATCAAAACCATTTTATCGAGGCTAGGTTGGATGGGATCTAGTGGAGTTGGAACTAGATGACCTTTAAGGTGACTTCTGACCCAAACCATTCTATGATTCTATGAGAGTGTTCATGTCACAAAAAGGAGATACATGCAAGTATAAGGCTTTAATCAACAAAAAGGCAAAATGAACCTCTTTCAGCTCTTTCTTTATTCATGAATCCAAATCTTTGCTTGTTTCTGTATTTGGTGGAGGTAAAGTTGTCCTTAATTGGCCTGCAAAATATCTCCTAGAGATATAGTTCATGTTTAACATGTGAAGGAAATTGTTTTGAATTCACTGAAAGTCCACCAGCTCTTTCTAAATAAAACCATATTAGTGTAGATGTTGAACTGCTACAACAAAAGTTATGTTTCTCAGAGAGAGGAAATTAAATTGTCTTTGTATTTGCATTTCTTTAGAGCTCAGTCACAGTGATTTATTTATGGAAAAACAGAAGGAGACAGTCTTCAAAATGGCCAATCAACTGAAGAAGCCAGACTGGGAACATCTCTATCTTCCCATTTGAAAACCTCACCTGTTGCTTGCTCCTACAGAGTACCTGGAAACACTGGTAAAAAACAAATTACAGTAGTGCCATTGTATTTTAGCAACACTTTTTTCTGCATAGCATTAGAATGATGTCAGAGGTTGATGACATATTAGGTTGTTCCAGTGAGAACAATTAATTTGGGGGCAAAAACCAGTGAGGACCCTGTCAGACACTGAACAATGTTTTTGGTTTTCATGTACTGATTCATCAGTGTTTATAGGCCTCCAACATGTAAATCACCCTGAGGTAATCTGGAAGGGAAGGATATGAATAAGCCAATTAAATTGGCAAAGAGCCTAAGGAACACCCTGTTTAGGGATAAAATCAAGCCTATCCTAGTGCCAGTAGTTTTGGAGGAAGAAATAGACTTAAAATCCTTGCAGAGTTAAATCTCTTTGTAGAGAGAACCAATTTAGAAGACTTTGGTCTTCTTCTTTTGTATGTGTGAGCTTGGGTAACTGAGATAAGGCAGTAAGTGATGTGTTTTCTGCAAGTAACTTTAATTTTGATGACACAGAAGGATGTCATCCAGGTTGCAGAGGGTGTAGGAACTAGTTGCCTCATTTATGGTAATTATTTCGTATTCAGTTTTATGATATGAGTATTCAAAGGACTGAATTGCCCTTTATCTTTCCAAGTACCACCTCTTTTCTTTTTTTTTTTTTTTTCCTCAAGGTGAGGTACAATTTTCCATCAGGAAGCTTCTCCACCCAAGTTAGCAGTTACTAGCATACATTAAGGTGCTCTATATCTAAATAACAACAAAAGCAACTACTCTTTTTTTTGCCATCTGCCAGGTCTGTGCCTTCAGAGGTGTAATATTTACAGGAAAAAAAGGCAGAGGTGAAGAGAAGTTTTCACTGAAAGCTGTACTTAGGAAAAAGCATTTTCATTCTCTGTTTACTTCCTTACAGTGTAAATGGATTCTCTTTGAGTTTTCAAGAGGCTTGCTGCTTGCTGGAAGACTGGCTCTGTTTTGCTGTCATTCCACTCGGGTCTTTGAACTCACACTCAATTCCAGTCAGGAAAATAGATGTCTCTCTAGAAGAGACATATCATGTGTATGCCTTCACTGGAGGAAAGGCCCAGGCAGAGCTCAGATGTGACACCAGACACTTTATGTGGGAGTGGATCATTATGACCTCTCCAAGTGCCAGAGAAGCTGTAATTGGCATTTGTACATTATTAAGCACCAGAGAATTTAACTGTAAACAGGAATCCATAGGAAATCAGGAGTCACCAGTTACATTGCTCACAGAGCTACTCATTTAAAAACAGCTTTTAGACATTTTTTCACATGCCATTAAGAGTGGGGGAGAGGTAACCTCCCCTTTTTTCCTTCTATCATCTTTGTAATTCTAGAATCATGTTCATGGTTGAAGGGAAGTAACTTCCTGAAAACAAAAACAGCCAGAAAGCAACAGAGACATGAGATCACTGGAGACACCACTATCAGTCCTCTGAATGCCTTGGAATTGACAGCATCAGGAGATCCCAGATATAAATGCCCTGATGGAGAAAAGACCCAGATAAACATAGCTGTTAAGATGATTTCAGTGCCTCTCATCTAACCTCAGCCTGATAGCTCAGCATCTAGCTCATAGCAGTCTTCACACCGTATGGAGACAAAGAGACGCCTTCCAGGAACAATCTGTACCATCCTAAAGTAGGAATAAAAGGGATGTGATGCACTCTCTTTGTCTGTCTGTCTGCACTGGGTGCTGAGGAGGGCTAGATGACCATCTGAATTTTTTAGACAGCAGGTGATCAGTGACATGATTCCCAAGTTTACTGTTCAGCTCTTGCCATATGTTGCTGGCAGCAGATCAAACTCCTGTTACTAGATGAGGACAAGAAATTTTGCACCAGAGGTTAGTTCAAGGATCTCTTTTGTTTTTAACTGGAACTAGAGATGCACTCATCTTCTTGGAGGTGTCCCTGGCTCTTATTCACTTTCAAGCATTCAGGAACTGCTCAGAGCAGTGGAAAGAAACAGAAATAGCTGCTTTCACTTCTCTTGCTGGTGTATGTGCCCTGAAGAAACAGGAAGCAAAGTAAGGTTAAGCTGGGTTTAAAGGAACAACACAATGTTTGGTAGAGGAAGGGAAAAATGCATAAGCTGGCCATGTCTCTAACTTCAGTGTATATAAACTGTTGCTATGTCCTTAGGAAAACAAGGGATTAGGGAAATAGTCTAAATGTATGCTGCATGAAACACAAGAGCACATCACACAAGCCTGAGTCCCTTTGTCTCAGTACAGTGCTCTAGAATTGGTGTGACCTTACTTCTGCCCTTGTTAGTCTGAAATATGTAGCACAGCTGTAGGACGTAGTTCATCATTTATCAAGGGAAAATGCAGTTCTGGATGGGAACGTGGAGGTGAAAAGTGTTCTGCACACCACGTTCGCTTTCATGTTGTAACTTGCTGCTTGGAAAAAAACAGAACGCTTTGTCTTCTTGTAACACTGGTGAACAACTCCTTATCATAACCTTGTAAGAGGTTTCAAGTACATTCATGAATAGGAAGACGATTAGGATGACACATCAAGGTTTTCTGAATACTTTTCTCTTTTCATATGCATCCTCATATTTTTCTTAGTTTTCTTTCCAGAACAAGGTGTTTCTAATTTCTGGTGTGATTGGTAGATAACATGCTTTCACTCTTGGTGGCCCATCTTGCTGTGAAACTCAAGCTGAGCACTAGGAAAGTGAGTTTACATGAGGAGCTGTCATACCTAAAGCAGCTCATTTAGCTGGAAGGCCCAGCAATGACCTTTGCAAAGGAGGCCACTATTGCTCTGAGCAGTTACTGTGACAAAACCCAAGGATAAAACCCCATTTAGCCTGACTAAAATGTTTAGTGGGAAAGAACTTACCTGGGGGATTTACATGATCTAATTTGTAGGGTAGAAAGAGGAAGATATCTATGTAGCTGGGGAACAATTGAAAGTCTTACTATAAATCATTATGCCAGGTAGGGTATTTTCTCTTCCTTCAAGTATTCCCCAGGCTGGGAGTCTGCTTTGGCCACAGCTGCTTCTCTTCAACAGTCCATTAGAGTCCTGAGACTGGGTTTTGAGCCAGCTGTGTAGGAAGGCTGTAATACTTCTCTCAGCTTGCAGCTGAAGAGTCAAGTGTGTAGCCTGATGGGCTTTTTTTGATGAGAGGACTCATATTAATTACCCTACATCTAAGGAAATCTAATTTCAGAGCACAAGGACACAGAGGAAAAAAGGAAGCCTGATTTTTCCAAGGTTCAAATGATCATATTAGTGCAGAGATTTGTGTCACAGGGAGTGCCTCTGGGCCTTCTTGCTACAGGGGTTGTTAACAGAGGGCAGGAAATCAACTGAGACCAATGACTTCAGTGACAAATGCCAGGGGAGTAGAGGTGATATCTTTGGCATTAGGCTGAGGGGGCTACAACTGGTGGTGCAATGGCTGAAAGGTTTACCTCTGTCTCATTGCTTCTAGGGGTGTAAATGAGTGCTGACCATACAGACGAGCAGCACAAGTTTCACCACACTTGCGAAGTTAAAAAACTCTTATGCTTCCCTCTTCTCTAATGTGTTTTGCAAAGCTACATTTGGGGTATGAATGGTATGGACATGTCCAGTTCAGTGAGGTAGAGTTAGTAGAGGGGGTAGGTTGAATTTATATTGTCGTCTTACTTTCTTGATTTGACAGAGCAAAGAGAGAAATCCCAGAAGCCGTGTATTTTGAGATTTACTCCAAGTCAGTTACAGAGAGCGAATGAAAAAAGTAGATAAGCTTTTTGAGGTTGCCACTCTGACATCATACACTCATCATGTATGGCCCCTCCTGTCTACTTTTCCAACTCAGCCCACTGTTCCTACCCCTGTAACTGGGCAGCCCCAAGGACCCAGTTAACACCTGCTCCTTGCTGTCTGGTGCCCTCTGGTGCTGCAAGTACCTGTCCAGGCTGCATCCCATTGCACCCTTGTGCAGCTGTGGGAGCCAGCCTGTACCCCAACAGGGACCCAGGGTTTTCCCCACTGCAGTCTGGAAGTGGCAAGGGCACTCTATTATGCCTTGGAGCAAGTGGGATAGGCCTGGGAAGTAGGAAAAAGCTTCTCTAGCCCCGTGTCTGTCCTTGAAGGAGGAGAGTGGGAAGTGTGCAGGATCCCCTTGTACACTTGGACTGGTCCCCCTCCAAGCATATCTCCCTTGCTTTACTCCCTTTCCCTTGCTTCAGCCTCTAACTTCTAGCATCCATATTCTTTTATTACTGTTGCCTTCACATAGTTGCCTGGTCTCACTGCTGTATCTTCCTCCTCCAAGGTACAGCTTCTCTTCCCCCTGGCTATTCCTGCCACATGCTGATCTTGCTCCAGATACCTCATACTGCAGTGCCCATGGCTCAGTAATGATTGGAGTTTACACATGCTCAGTTTTATTGTTCAGAAAACAAGATTACAGTATCTTTGCTGTCATTCTTCTTCCCTTTAATTAATCAATGCTAATTGATTGATTGATTGATTGATTGATGGTGGCTCTCTGGTTAAACAGTCTCCCAAGCCCAAGCAACAGCCACATGCCTATCCTTCCCACATATTTACCTGGAGTATCCATAATGTATTAATCTCCAGAAATTACTTAGGACCTTTTCTAAATTAGTTTGTACAAATTGGCAGGCTCATTTTGCTGTACTTACAGAAAACTGGTAACAGAAACAGATAGCAACAACTGGCTCACTCACAGGTCCTTCTGTTGATTTGGTCCAAGTAGTTTTTAGCTTTTCAGGGAATGAGTGGATCACTCAATGACTACAACTACACACTATGGTTCTTGCCTGCAAGCCTGCTTCCCCACACCTGATACTTGTGCCCTGTTCAGTTTAGTTCTCCCTTCTAGAGATGGTCAAATGCTGTTCCTGATGGTGTTGTCACAGTGTGACACAGTCAGTAGCTGTATGGAAAGACCAAGCTTCAGGACATTTGCAATCTGATTACCTAAATATCATTAGCATGGGCTTTCCTGGCAGATTCGTGACCCGAGGACCATCTGCCTGACAAATTTCAGTTCTCTGCCACAAGGAGCAATTATAGGAAGAAATCCACAGCATTTTTTCTGTTGTTTTTGTTTGTTTCTGCCTTTCTTTGTTTCTTTATTTTTGACAAATATCTGTTGGAAACAGCTAAAATAAGATATCTGCCCCAAACTCAACCAAACCAAATCATCAAACCCAACTAGCAGAAAATGAGCTGTTAGCAGGACTAAGCTTGAAACTTGTGAGCTGGAACTGATAAGGGGTTGGCAGATAAAGGATACAGAAAATGGGACCTTATAAAGAGAAGTTGGGCAACCTTCAAAAAAGTGGTGCTACCAGTCCTGTCAATGAATACTTAGATATGTCCCTTGCAGATTGCAGGTCTTTGATGCAATGCTCACTGGTGAGTCACTTGGAAGATCACTAATTGAAGGCTAGAAACTGGCCTGCTGCGGCCTGCAGCCATTATGAGCTGTGCATTTTTTTAAGAGGTGTTTGTTGCAATACCCTCTATTTTCTGCAAATGGGGTGCGGCTCTCCCATTCCTGGTAAAGTGACTGGTGCAGCTTTTGGTTGGGAAAATAAGGGTGCTGTTGCATGACAAGCTGGACTTCCCCTAGGAGGGAAGTCAACTTCTTCCTCTCCAGTACAGCATCTGGGGTGTCACAATTCCTGAAAACACAATGGAACCGCACAGAAATCTGGCAACTTTACCCAGTTTGTAGTTACAGGGATCTGCCTCATAAAAACATCTGAATCACATTTCTCACTACCTACCTACCTGCATAAACACAGCCCCATCCTGTTCTTAGGATCTGAGCCTTACATTCTCAGACTACGCCTCCATTTCCTTTTTTCATCAGAGGTCTTGTGACTCTCACTCCTTACGTAATTATTTGGGCTTCAGTGAAAACAGCTGTGTTTCAGCTTGCCATCAAAAGTGACACTGTCACTCTTTGTTCATGTTAAATACAGGCACACAAAGTTTATTTGGCTGTGATGCATTAGAGAACTCATTCTTCATGCAGGATGAGAGGGACACCACACGGAGCCTCGCAGATGACGCAGCACGGATAAACAGCCATCCTGCAGCTGGTTCCATGGTGGATAAGACAACCCCTACACCTCCTTAACTTCTTTTCACATTTCCACCACTCCGCTTTTCCAGACCACTCACTTTGCCAGTTAAAGATTGCC